CCACCCCCAGTACTAGTTTGATTAACTAAATCAGACCCTTATCCCCCACCCCCAGTACTAGTTGGATTAACTAAATCAGACCCTTATCCCCCACTCCCAGTACTGGTTGGATTAACTAAATCAGGCCCTTATCCCCCACACCCAGTACTATTTGGATTAACTAAATCAGGCCCTTATCCCCCACCCCCAGTACTAGTTTGATTAACTAAATCAGACCCTTATCCCCCCACCCCCAGTACTAGTTGGATTAACTAAATCAGACCCTTATCCTCCACCCCCAGTACTATTTGGATTAACTAAATCAGGCCCTTATCCCCCACCCCCAGTACTATTTGGATTAACTAAATCAGGCCCTTATCCCCCACCCCCAGTACTATTTGGATTAACTAAATCAGGCCCTTATCCCCCGCCCCAGTACTAGTTTTATTAACTAAATCAGGCCCGCATACCCCACCCCCAGTACTAGTTGGATTAACTAAATCAGGCCCGCATACATCACCCCCATTACTAGTTGGATTAGCTAAATCAGGCCCGCATACCCCACCCCCCGTACTATTTGGATTAACTAAATCAGGCCCTTATCCCCCACCCCCAGTACTAGTTTGATTAACTAAATCTGACCCTTATCCCCCACCCCCAGTACTAGTTGGATTAACTAAATCAGACCCTTATCCTCCACCCCCAGTACTATTTGGATTAACTAAATCAGGCCCTTATCCCCCACCCCCAGTACTATTTGGATTAACTAAATCAGACCCTTATCCCCCACCCCCAGTACTAGTTTGATTAACTTAATCAGGCCCGCATACCCCACCCCCAGTACTAGTTGGATTAACTAAATCAGGCCCGCATACATCACCCCCATTACTAGTTGGATTAGCTAAATCAGGCCCGCATACCCCACCCCCCGTACTATTTCGACTAACTACCACAGGCCCGTATTCCCCACCCCCAGTACTAGTTGGATTAACTACTCCAGTGCTGTTTCCCCCCACCCCCAGTACTTCTCCCTGAACCAAATTTCTCAAGCCAGTAACTCACAAGTGACAGAAAATTGCCTGTGCCCCCGCCAGGTGACACCCCTCCCCTCATGACAAACAAAATTCAAGTCAGCAAACTTGTCTCGGGTCCCAATACAATTTTTTTGTTAAGCTTGTTTTAAAAGGTTAGTCTGGTCAATTGCGAAAGCATCAAATAAATATATAAATAAATAAACAAGTTGAAAACAAAATTTTCTTTAGGAAAAGATCTCAAACAGAGTATCTGAGATACAATTTATCCAGCAAAACGTCTCAGAAAGTTATGTTAAGCAAAATATCTCATGAAAATTATCTCAGATAAATAACATCAGACGCAATATCTCAGGAATATTATCTGAGATAACACATTTTAGATACAATTTATTAGACACAATTACTTACTTAATCCACAACTCCACCATACCTTCATGTGGGGCATAAGGCAGCAACACAACTTCACCATGCCTACATGTGGGGCATAAGACGCAACACAACTCCACCATGCCTACATGTGGAGCATAAGGCAGCAACACAAACTCCAAAATGCCAAAGTGTCGGGGCATAAGGCAAAAACACAACTTTAACATGCCTACATGTGGGGCATAAGACGCAACACAACTCCACCATGCCTACATGTGGGGCATAAGGCAGCAACACAACTCCAAAATGCCAAAGTGTCGGGGCATAAGGCAAAAACACAACTTTAACATGCCTACATGTGGGGCATGAGGCAGCAACACAACTCCACCATGCCTATGTGTCGGGGCATAAGGCAAAAACACAACTTTAACATGCCTACATGTGGGGCATAAGGCAGCAACACAACTCCACCATGCCTATATGTCGGGGCATAAGGCAAAAACACAACTCCACCATGCCTACATGTATGGCATGTAAAACACAAATTAACTTCATTTTAAAAGTCGACGAGTCGGATATTAAATTGTACTAGAATACCCGTCATCCCTTGGATAACTGTGGGTTTCGGGGGTCATCCATCAAAAAACATCACGTCTGTCACTCAGAGGCATAGCGAGCCTTCCCGGCGCCCGGGGACAAACTTTTCGATTTTAACCCCCCCCCCCCCCAAGATTTCGATTTTCAACCCCCCCCCCTCAAACTTTTGATGTGCATCCCCTCCCCCCCCCCCCCCCCCCACTCAAACTTTCGATTTGAACCCCCCTCAACCTTTCAATTTATTTTTTCCAAACCATTTTGGCGCCCCAACATACGTCCCCCCCGCCCCTCCCCTCCCCCCCCCCGCCTCCCCTTCCCCCCCCCCCCCCCCCGCCTCCCCCCCCCCCCCCCCCCCCCCCCCCCGCCCCCACCCCCCCCCCCCCCCCCCCCCCCCCCCCCCACCTCCTCGCTACGCTACTGCAGTGTCACTTATCGTCACACAAAAACAGAGCCCACATTCAAAAATATGTTTCTTATCTTTTAAAAACACCGAAAACACCGATTTCGGACTATCCCTTCATATACTGACGTCACATGTGACCTACTCAACTCTACTTCACCTGCCCAGTGTCCCGCCAAGTCTCAGACAACATGTTTTTATCGTTTAAAAAACGATTCCAGCCGAGCATGTCTCTGACCACACTATCCTTTCATATGGTTAGGACAAAGAAACAGATGAACTCTACTTCACCTGCCCTGTATCCTGCCAAGTTCAGATAGGCAACTTTATCATTAACATCTAAAAAAAAAAATTGAAAAAAAAAATATCATTGACATATTGGTCTAGAACCTGTACCACTCGCATGAGAGCGAACTACGCTACAAACTTAGCTATTTACTCGTGACGTCACAAATGAATTTTTATACTATACTTTGATGCAACTTGATTTCGAGCGTCTAGTCTAGAAGTAGTAACTTTCAAATTAAATTTTATCTTAAATTAGCCAAACAAAGATTTATATAAAATAATTTAGGCCTGAAATAGATTCTAGATGTATTAAGGCCTGAAATAGATTCTAGATGTAGAATTTACATTAAGTCTAGATTTAGAATTTACATTGAGTTTAGTGATCTAGATCTAGGCTAGATTCATAAATTTCCTTCGACAGCTGATCTTTAGATCTAGAGAAATTTATTGTAAAACTAAATGAAAAAAGACAGTTGAAAATTGATATAAGTGTTGGAACGTAATAAATACAGCAAACGGACGTATTGTTAAAGTTATGACCGACAGAAAATTAGATTTAGAACGCGTTAAACTTTGGAATGGGAACACAATTTTCTTCGATAGACGCCGCCATTTTATTGTACTAAAGAGTCAACAAAAACTCTGACGTCACTATCAAGGGACGTCACTATCCCCACAAAGTTTATTCAAAGTATTAACATTTTTTAAAAACTACGGTTAATTTAACAATGAATAAATCAATAAATTAATTAACGTCTTTAAATAAATTTGTGATTAACAGTCTGTCTGCATTAAAAAATTATTCTCTACCTACATACTATTTTACAGCTCTCCAGATAGAGGAGAACATATCAGGATACTTGATCAGGCAAACAAACAAACAAACAAAAAAACAAAAAAATAAATATTCAAACATGTAAACAAACTTGACTTTTAGTAGTATATAGATGTCACAGATGTTAGGGCTAATTAGATGTATCACCAGTCAATATGTATGTCTGCCTAAACGAAAACCAAAAAAGTCTACCTAACCTAAATGTCATCCAGCCACTGTTAACGGAAATGTCCTTTAACCAATGTTTATCTAGGTGTCAACTAGTCATTGTTAACAAAAATGTCAACTGACAATTTTTTTTAACAAAATATTACCTAGTCATTGCTTACCTTAATGTCACCTAGACTTTGTCTAAATAAATATCATCTAGCTGTTGTTAACAGAACAGTCACATAGCCATTGTCTAATTCACTGTCCACTAGTCATTGTTAACCAAAATGTCATCCAACAATTTTTTTAATCTAAATGTCACTTAGCCAATGTTTAACTAAATGTCACAAAAACATCATCATTTAATCACGCTCAATAAAGCCAGTTTTTTTTTTTAAATTCTTTTAACCCCAATGAAAACAAAGTTTGTTTCCTGACATAGACGTCTATTGGCCTGATAAATATAATAACACGTACATTCTCAAACTGTTCAAATAACGTTTTATTTCAGACATAGCAGTCTATCCGTCCGATAGAGATTATAACACATACATTCTCAAACTGTTCAAATAACGTTTTCTTTCAGACATAGCAGTCTATTAGTCTGAAATAGATTATAACACATACATTCTCAAACTGTTCATATAACGACAAGAATGTCTTGTTCCAACTGTAAAGATCTTCATAACTGAGGACCAAACCATTAAATAAAAAAAAAATTGGCTATAACAGGCAAATTAAGTGAAAACTGAGTATTTGAGACGTTAAACAGTATTGATATGTGTTCGTATTAGATTATGTATTTATCGGTTAAAGAAAGCATCAAACTATAGACAGAAACTAGTTACTGTTATAGACAGAAACTAGTTATCGTTATAGACAGAAACTAGTTATCGTTATAGACAGAAACTAGTTATCGTTTTAGACAGAAACTAGTTATCGTTATAGACAGAAACTAGTTATCGTTATAGACAGAAACTAGTTATCGTTATAGACAGAAACTAGTTATCGTTATAGACAGAAACTAGTTATCGTTATAGACAGAAACTAGTTATCGTTATAGACAGAAACTAGTTATCGTTATAGACAGAAACTAGTTATCGTTATAGACAGAAACTAGTTATCGTTATGGACAGAAACTAGTTATCGTTAAAACGGGTAACAAAACTCGTAGAGTCCATTCAGAAACTTTAGCACAAGGAGAGTCCATTTATAGAGTTTAGCCCATCGGCTAACCTAGCTAGTCACACCTCTGATAATGACTAAATTAGTCACGCCTCTGATAATGACTTACTTAATCTGATAATGACAAAGTCACACCGCTGATCGCCCACCACTCGCCCACTATATAAACACTTGCATTTCAACACGTCACAAGACCAAGTCCAGTTGAGGAATTCATCAATACATCATCAACACATCAGACCCCAGACTCTAGCCAGAAATATTCCAGCAGTTGCCAGATCAAATGTCTCCTAAACTTTTTGTTCTCTGCCTTATGGCAATGCTGGTCAAAAATTCTATTCCAGAGAAAAGTAAGTCGAGTGATTTTATTTGAATCCCGCGTTCGTTTGATGCGACTTAGAGCATTTCCTCCTCTTCTTCGTACTTATTTGTAATGTTAGGCGTGATTACCTCCAACTCAAGGTGGGTGGGGTTCAAGGGTTCAAGCCGCCCACCACACTGTTCTATATATTGGGAGAAGGGGTTATTCCAGCCATCTACACCCCGTACCCCCTAGAACACCGCCAATAATTCTGTTTTATGTGATCTCCCACAGGTTACATTTGTCATCTACTAAAGATTGTAGGGCCGTGTAGGGCAAGACTACCCAGATACTACTATGATATGGAATCGGGCCGCTGCGAAAAATTTTATTACGGCGGCTGTGGAGGGAATGAAAATAATTTCAGAAACAGGAAGGAGTGCGAGTTTTTCTGTGACCCCATCGGTATGTGTCTGTTTCTATGTCATGTGTACGTATGTATACACGTGTACGTGTGCATGTAAGTATAGGAGTACATGTATTTGTTTATGTATGCGTGTGTATGTGTGTATGTGTGGTAATGTGTATGTGTGGTAATGTTAAGGGTGTGGATCGGTGTGGGGTTACGTGTGTGAGTGTGAGTGGAAATGAGCGGGTGTAGGAGCTGGTGTTGGTGTGTGTGTGGTAATGTTGGAGTGTGGGTGAGTGTGGGGTTACGTGTGTGGGTGTGAGTGGAAATGAGCGGGTGTAGGAGCTGGTGTTAGTGTGTGTGTGTATGAGCGTTGGCGCCGGAATAGACTTGCATGTTCTGAAGCTGTAGCTATTATTGTTTCTCTTGTTTTTGTTGTTGTAGTTCGGTTGTATGTATGATACAAAATGCACGTGAGTATTATTTTAACATATTAATCACACTTCAAAAATTTCTAGACCCTATCTGCTCGCTTCCACCGGACGGAGGAATCTGTTTAGCCAGATTTGTGGCTTATTATTATGACAAGGAATCCAGAGAGTGCAAGAAATTTACCTACGGCGGCTGTGGCAAAAATGAGAATAGGTTTTCCAGCAAACAAAAATGCGAAGCAGCCTGCGTCAAGACAAACAAAATTGAATGAGCTTGATTTGGATAATCACACAACTGAAAATAATGTACTAATAAATTAATCAAAGAAACAATATGTGAAATTTTATTTGTATTCATATTTTTTATAGAAATATTATCTTATTTTAACTACTCGCATCAATAATGCTATACCGAGATTGTATTCTTCAACCAACTCTTCAGAAAGGCATACATCTGAACAACGACACCACACGACTTACATAACACATAAATGCAGCGCATCAAAACATGAACAGGAAATTGTCGTTTTTTCCAGTCTAATATAATAATGCAGGAGAACACAACGTATATCACAGTGCCACGGATTTGACAATACTAGTTCTGATAATAAATACAATTAAAGAGTTAAATTAATAGATATAAAACACAAATAAATATAAATATAAACAAGTAATTAAAAAAAGTCTAGTGACAATTTTAGCGCAATTTCCTTATGTTATCTAAAAATAGCTTTGTCGTAGCGTAAATCAAGAGCAGGGTTAGTAAAACCATTGGTTAGTTATTAAAACGTTTTTTATTATTATTTTTTTCAGTATTTTACATGTTTTATTTACAATAGAGTAACATGACTAAAAACCATTGCGCGCCTAGCTACCGAACGTGATGTCATAGCCATTGAACGTGATGGCGCAGCTATTGAACGTGATGATGCGTGTGGTGTGGTTGCATAAAATGCCTACTAATTCGGTCCAAATTTTAATTAATTCAAAATTTTTTTTGTGACCAAACGAAAGGATATTTTTGAAAACTTTCTTCGGCAATATTGTTCTAAATTATGGCAGGAATCGATTGGTACATGTTTCAAGTCGCTAAGTGGTCTGGTTGCCGAGATATGGGCCAAAAACTGCATTTTTTTCGAGGTTTTTTGGCTTTTCAGGGAAATCCATGAAAGAAACCCGGAATTTTTATGGCCTATGTTCATCCTCGTAACTTGCTTAACTTAATTGTATTTGTAACTAGTCATCGATATTGCTTCGTTGAGGAGGAGATACGACTTAAAGCTGCGGACACACATCCATACATTCATCCATCCATCCATCCATCCAGAAATGACGGGTTAATAAACGCAATTCTCCAGAATGGAAATTGCGCTAAAAATCTTTAAAGCAACGAGCTTTTAAACGCACTGAAAATAAGAATATAAAACTAATTTGCTTTGTTTAATAATAGCTTTTGTCGCTAAATTATGTAAAAGATCTCATGAGCGGCCAAACCTTGTATAAAACAAGGTAAATTAGTTTTATTCTCTTATTTTAAGTTCATTTAAATGCTTTTCGCTTTAAAGGTTTTTTTTTTATAGTTGCATTATTTTCTATCTTTTAGTTGTTTCCTCATGTATGAAGTCGACAAATGTTTGCATTAAAACACCATTAGTTGCACGTAATATCTGAAAGACAATTATCTGCTCCATGAACAAATTTTAGAGACGACAGCATGCTATTAATTTAGCTTAGTTTCAAATAGTTTAAAAGCTTGATTACCTGACCCTAATACTAATGGCCTTCACTAGATCGACCGGCTATAAGATTGTCAACATTCTCGTGAACTACAGCTCACTAGACTGCTAGGGTGATTGCTTCGAGGTTGCTATCTCCTCTTCTGTTAATGAATGCTAGTAAACTATGGAGTGATTTTTTTGTTGTCCCCCCTTAGTGCCGTAACATTTTAATTAATTTTAATGACTAATTAAACAACTAATTAAATTAATTGTGATCGAAGTGAAACGTATCTGGAGAGTTTGGACAAAATTGCTGCATTAGAAGATGCTCAAATTGAGTCACAAGATTTGCCACAAACCCACAAACAAACAAACAGATTGTAAAAGGAACACTATAAGAAACGCGAATAAACCCACAACATTGGTTACAAATGTTTTAAATTTTCTTAGCGTGTACTGTGTTTTAAATTAAATTTTAAAATTTACTTATAGATTAAATTCATTGGCGGGAAATAATATAGGGTCTCAGCACATCATGTAGCATCTATGTGTAGGCCTATATTTTTAGTGAGGTAGGGAGGGGGGGGGGGGGTTGCGGGTAGCGTCGAGTGCTTAATAAGGCGCCATATTTTTACATTCAATGTAGGGGAGGAGGGGTGAAAAGTGACAAATGTCACTTTTAGGATCTGGAGACAAGAATTGTGAACATTTAACAATGCCAATGCACCAGATACTAGTTCCACTTTTCAGATAATGGGGTCATCCATAAATGACGTCACGCTTTTTTTGGACGATCTTTACCCCCCCCCTCCCTTCCGTAACACGTCGTCACAAAAAGCCAGACCCCCCCTAAAATGACGTCACACTTCAGCCTACAACCCCCTTCAAAATTGCAGTTGAATTTTTTTAAAACATCGATATTTTTCTTAAATCTTGTCTAATCTCTGTCAAAATAGAGTATTTTAAACAATTCCTATCCTATTACAATTTACTAAAACAGTATTCTAAAACTCAAAAAAACGTCTAAATTTCGTTTTCTAACATTGCTTTTTTATAATTTCAAATGTGTGACGTCGCACCAACTGACCCCTCCCCTCCCCCTCATCATACATCTTCACAAAATTACGGACCCCCCTCCCCCTACGTTATTTATCGTATATACGAGAAAGTAAAAATACGTTTGTATTTGTCAACAAAATGTTTACTTTTTACTTTCTCGTATATACGTAGTATAGAGAAAGTATTGTAATCGTGCAAAAAAAATCGAGATTTTTACAAATCTCGACGTTTTACACCTCACTGATACGGAAAAACATAATTTTGCAACCTTGTCCGTATGTCTGTGTGTCTGTGTGTGTGTGTCTGTGTGTGTGTAAACACGATTACTTGAGTACCGTTACAGCTAGGTTGATGAAATTTCATATGTAAGTATTTCATCAAAATCGTAGATCCGTATCAACTTTTGAGCGATTTCCGATAACCGGAAGTGGTACTTTTTCTACTTTGAAATTTTCAAAAGCCTATAACTTGAGTACTATTTCAGATAGATAAATGAAATTTCACATGTAAGTAAAAGATCTAATTCTCTACCTTCTGTTAAATTTTGAGTTAATTTCCGTTGACGGGAAGGGCTCCCGGTCAAAAACCCCCTGGACATAAACCCCCCGACATAAACCCCCTGGACAAAAACAGTACAGAAGTACTAATTTACGCTATTTCCGATTTCTCAAAAACGCATCTAAATTTATAAAGTACTAATAATATTGCGCACCATTATGAACATCTTTATTAGGCGTTCACTTGGTGTGCAATACTTTTTTCTATGAGATTCTATTTTATTTTAAAAAGTTTATGTATTTAAAATGGATTAAAAATCATAACTATATCCCGAGTTCCCATCCCCTGTTGTTTTATATAAGAATATTCGAGAAAGTTTAGGGGAGATCACTCCCGGTTTATTCTTTAAGCAAAAACAACTCAAGTCATTACTAAAATTGAATTTTAAATCAATTGTTTAAATAAGATTGAACCATTTCAGCACCAGGTAGTGTGGCTCAGTGTTTCTTCCAGACTTTTTTCTCCTGTGGGTGGGTGGGGAAGGGGGGCACTTGAAATTTTCGGGGGGGGGGGGGAGGGGAAGAATTTTTTCGGGGGGGACACACTGTTAAAAGTATAAAATGTTCTATATAAATTTCATTTCGTTCGGGGGGCGGTAGATTTTCTTCGAGGGGGGGGGGGGTTCGGGACTTCGCCCCACCCCCCCAAAAAGATGCCTGGAAGAAATTCTGGTGTGGCTACATTGGGTAATACGCTATTAAAAATGTACAATCTATTTCGAATTTTGCCGACTCAATTTATGGATTATTTTGAATGCATAGGTATTTCTTTTTTTATTGCAAGTAACACATGCACACATGTAGCCTACATCTGCAAGCACACACTCAGTATAGATGTATATATATATATATATATATATATATATATATATATATATATATATATATATATATATATATATATATATATAAATATAAATATAAATATAAATATAAATATAAATATATATATATATATATATATATATATATATATATATATATATATATATATATATATATATATATATATATATATATATATAAAGCCTATTTATTTGTGTGTATGTCCGTATGTGTATTTTTAATCATCGCGTGATTTAGGTATGAGCTATAGCTTAGTGCCTCAATGTCTTAAGGGACCCAATAAGTCTTTTTTTTTAAACCACGGTGGCCATTTTGTCATCGAACTTTTTTTTAAACATTTATTTTTAGTTTCATTTTTTGTCGACAAATAATTTGTTTTAAGCTGCAAATATATGGCACCGACATATAATATCGGTACCTACTTGGCGCCGCCACCATGAAAATTGCTTTTACGTATTCAAGTTAAAATTATGTCCTAGTTTAATACATGCTAGTATAAAGTTGACTGCAAACGTTTTTTTTTTTGTTGAATCTGCATGTGTGTGTGTGTGTGTGTGTACTTTGGGATTTTATTTCTACGTGTTGTTTTTTTCTTTTTGTGCATGTGCGCGTATATGAGTATGCTAGGTGGAATGTGTGTGTGTATCTGCATCAGAGGCGTAGCTAGGGGGGACGAGGGGCGGACCGCACCAGGTGACACCATTTAAGGGGGTGACACCAAGTCAAAAAAATTGTAAAATATATAGAGAAAAATGATAATTCCACTTAATTAAGTGATTAATTCAAGTGTTTAATCAACGTTTGAGGGGGGGGGGGGGGGGCTGGGTTGCAAGTCGAAAGTCTGAGGGGGGGGGGGTTGCAATTTGGAAATTGAAAGTTTGTTCCCGGAAGGGTCGCTACGCCTCTGGGGCGTGACACCATTAAGTGCCGCACCTGGTGACACTCGACCTCGCTACGCCACTGATCTGCATCATGAGTTTATACTTTCCAATTAAATACTTTGATTAACTACATCAAGCCCGTATCCCCCACCCCAAGTACTAGTTGAATTAACTAACCCAAGCCCATAAACACCCCA